GCAGAGTAGAGAAGGGTAGAGAGTGGGTCTGGAGGGGCAAACAGAATCCCCAGCAGGTTCCTCTGTAAATCTTTCTGGGCTAAAGCCCAAAGGGAAAGATTGAACATACACATCTCCCAGCTTCTCTCTCCTCCTTTCTCCCTTCCCTCTTCCCACCGTCTCCCAGGAATGAGGCAGAGAACACATACATCCTTGGTAAACCCTAATGCACTGTGTTCCTTCCTGTACACAGGAAGGGGAACTTCCTGGATGACCTGGGCTTGCCTTCTGATTTACGAAAAGGGAAATAAAGATATGAAGAACATTCTCTTCTGGGAAAATTGCTGCTTTCGCAAAGCTGTTGTCTTTCTGGCAAATCCAATTGCAAATGCCAAAAATCTGAATATTTTTTTGTGTGTGTGTTTCTTTTGCCCCTCTGCCCAGCCTCAGACAGATGGATGCCTTAGACCAGCTAGGAAAATACTATATTCTTGGGCAGGCAGAAGAGAATATAGCACATTAATATTTTTTATAATTATTACCCCCAATTTCACCAATATGTTACTGTGTTTGTTTGGAATATGTTTGTATGGAAATTAAAAATTTATATAACAGTTTCACATATTGTATCTGATTGAACATCACTTAATCTTAACAACAATTCATTATAAGGCATCCATTTTACAGATGAGATAATTGCGGCCAAGTGTACTCTGCTAGTTAGCAGCAAACCCACAGACAGGGAGATTTCTACATCTCCTGACCCCTGTTGTAGTTCTCTTTGTTCTGTGACAATGGGGCAGAGTTTGCACATTTGGAAAAGAGAACCAAACTCATTAAGTTGGCTTATAATGTACTAGTACCTGCTAAAAATTATGCTTCTTGAGCAGTTTTGCCCACTAAGAATTTATTTCATTACAACTACGTTTTTAATCTTCTCTATCTGCTTCTATGGTAACTAGGTCATTTTATGCTCATTTTTTCCGCCCTTCTCACATTATCATCTGTCATTTGGTGTCCCTTATCATTTGTGCTTTTTTTCCCTCTTGATTCTGATGCACTTTACTGGTTAATCACTTTTTTATCCGGCTCTTCTTTTCCCCTACTCCTTGATTCTGGAATTGTCCTTGGATCTCATAATTTGATTGCTGCTTCTCTGACTCAGTGAGTCGAGCATATTCTGCTGAAAACAGCAGGCCTGTTTTCATTTGTTTGTGTTTACATGGCACCCTGTGCTCAACTGTGTAACTCAGAGAACACCCATGGGAAGAGGCTGCAGCAGGGAAATAAATGCCGAAGTAGAAAAAGAAAATGAGGACCTGGCATTTAATTTCAAAGACAAGAGTGAAGAAGGTAACTGGTCTAGTTAGATCTGAACGAACCAGCACCCTGGCCTCCCAGCAGATTTCCAGAATGGCTGCTTTCTGGGAGTGAGACAGAGAGATTCATGATGTCTCTGAGGAGTGACACGAGTGACAGATCAGAGTTGAAGGCTGGTGCAGAATATCCCACTTTATCAGGTTTATGTACCTCCCTGCTGAAAAGTAGAAGCTCCTTGGTGCACTCAGGGGTCTGTCTGTCCCTAAATTCACTAGAAGTTTCCCAATTCATGTATTATCAATTAAAATGGATTTTGATTTTTCTTTTCCTCCTAGAATATAGGAAGATACTAAAGATGTTTGATGTCTTGAGAAGTCTCAGTACCTGGAGCTATTGTCTGTTCCCTGGCACATGTCCTCTCACACTGTCAAGAGAGGGGATGATTGAGAATTTGGGTTCTAGCTAAGTTTGAGCAATATCCATTAAGTTCCTGGGCCAGGCTGAGTTGGGGAGAAGACCTGAGTGTCTTACAGGTTCCTCCTACGTCTCTTCCCTAACCTCCAGTGCAGGGGGCAGCTTACCTTCTGGGCCCATCTCCTAAACCTGTGCTTGGAGTTGCTGCTGATTCCTGATTTAGACAGTTATGATAGATCATTGGCTAAAAATACATCGCTACATGTAAACATAAATATTTACTAGTGGAAATAAATGACAGTGGGATTTTTGCCCTTTAAATGACCCACTTAGCATTGTACTGAGAGTCTAGAGATATTCTTATAGGTTGCTGATGTTTGCGTAAATCTGGCACAGCGTTTCTGGGGGATAATTAGGCAGTAAATTTCAAAATGCCCATGCCCTTGACTGTGTAGTGCACTATGTAGGAAATCATCAAGATTTTGCCTAGTGACTTGGTTAGGTGATGTTCACTGCAGCTTCCCAATAAACAGGATAAATTATCAATCATACATGAGACAAAATACTGACAGCCATCAAAAATATATAAATGTAGATGTGTGTTTTTTAGACATAAAGGATATTCATTATGTCTTATTGAATAAGTAAGTTAATTAAATGCATATAAATATATACAAGAAAATGCATACATATGCATAGAAGAAATACCAGAAAGGATGAACCAAAATGATAATTGTTTCTGGGTAGTGTGATTAATAGTAATTTTAATTTATAATGGATAATTTTATTTTTTACTGTCTTCTACAGTGAACAGGTATTGTTCATGAAAAATAAAATTATTTAGCGTTGAAACTGGCCCATGGGGTAGGTGATGGGACTAGGGTCAGATGAAGTTGCATCCGCAAGATCCATATTGACTGATGTGTGTTGGTGTCTCGGCAGTGACAGGAGGTGCGGATGGTGGCCCACTGTTGACTCTGACAAAAGGATGTGAGCACAAGGGACTCAAGAGTGGGGCCAGCTTGGGAAGAGCTTTGCAGATTGGGCCGTATTTTTACTCTCTTTATCTAGAATGTTCTGATTTTGTAGATAATTATTTAGCTTTCTCTTTTGACTTTAGACAAAATGTATTTTAATTGTTTCATCAAATAATATTCAAAAGAATATTTACAAAATAAAAGTGCAGAAAATACTCATACACAGAAATTCAGTGTCCCAGAAATGGAGCATTACCATTAATCCTGTAGAGATCCCCTGCAGGGTCTCCGTTCTCATCTCCTCCCCCGCCGAGAAAACCACGGTGCTGAATTTTTTATCATAATTTTGCTTTTCTTTATAATTGGATTCTTAAACAATATTTTATTTAGTTTTACATGTTTTTGGACTTCGTATAAGTGGAATTATGCTTTGATATTCTCCTGCAGCTTGTGTTTTTCACTGAATATCTTGTTTCTGCGTTTCATCCATGTAGTGTATGTAGCTGTCATTCATTCACCTCGCTATTGTCGAGTCGTCCTGGTGTGAATGCACCATGGTACGCTTATGCATTCTCCTGTTTATGGACTTCTGCATGACTTACAGTTTTTTGCTACCATGAGAGTTCTTATTCAATGACCTCAGGTGCTCATGTATGAGTGTCTTGGGTATACACATAGGTGTGGAATTGCTGGGTTGTAGGGTGTGTGAATGTTCAACTTTACTAGATAATGTTTAATTATTTTTCAAGTTATTTGTGTCTATTTATATTTTTGCCAGCAGTAAATGAGAGTTTCCATACTCCACATAGTCATCAACATTCAGTAATGTCAGACTGTTAACTTTCTGCTCATCCATTAGATATCAAATGATTTAATTTGTCTTTCTCTGAACATTAATGAGATTGAGCATGTTTCTTGGGTTTATTAACCATTTGTGATTTCTCCCTATAACAAATCTGTTTTGGTCTTTTAGCCCATGTTTCTATTGGGTTATTTGCATTTTTGAAATTGGTTTGTAGGAATTCTGTTTATTCTGGGCACTAATCTTTTGCTGGTTATACATGTGGGAGATTTCTTCTTCCAATTAGTGACTTGTCTTTTCATTTTCTATATAGTGTGTTTGATGAAGAGACATTCTTAATCTTGTCTATCCTGTCTTTCATGATTTGCCCTTGTTTGTATCTTTCTAAAGCAATCCTTTCCCACTCAGAGGTTCATAAATATAAACTCCTATATTGTCTTCTAAAGTGTTTATAATTTGATCTCTGTGAATACTGTGAAGGTGTCCAATTTTATTTTTTTATATGGATAACTGTTTGTTCCAGGACAATTAATTAAAAGACCTTCCTTTCCCCACAGGTGTATAAATGCCAGCTCTGTCGTAACTCATGTCATAAATGAAGTTTCCATATTATGTGTGGGCCTGTTTCTTGGGTCCTTCAGAGAATGTGTGCATTTGAGTTCTCTAAAAGCCAAGGGGCTCCACTAGGGAATGTCTTTATTTTTTTAATAATAAGGCGTTTCTCTTACATAACAAGTTAGCAGTTGTACGGTTCCAGGTCAGTCTGTGGCACAATGATGTCATCAAGAACCCAGGCTCTTCCCGTTTTCCCTCTGCCAGAATCGGCTTGTCCGTGATGATTCCTCACAGCTGCAGCTGCTCCAGGTTTCATAGCCACAGATTTCCACATCCCAAGTGGAAAAGAGTCTTCAACGCGCCTATCTCGGGGTTGTTTCGGACCACCCAGGTGGTGTGCAATCACTGCCAGCTCACAGGCAGTCCCACTTGGGATTGTGAATTCTCTGGGGGTGCTCTTTCCTCTGTCCGTTTGGGCTGAGTGTCCAGGCAGGCGATTTGCATGGCAGATCCCTGTGGGGAGCACAGGTATTTGTTCCCAGTTCACCTTCGTCTCAGGGGGTAGCTCTGTGGCGACGCAGGTTTCCGCAGGGCTCTCATCTTAAACTCCTCTCCTTGGGTGGTCCTGGCTTGTCCTCTGCCTGCTGCACCCGATGGGACTATGGGACGGTGGAAACTGGAAGCTGGAATTCATCTAGGTGGCAAATGTAAAACTAAGGAAACTTGTTTGTTTACGTCTCTGACTTCTCGTTTTCACTTAGTTTTTTGGCTTCTTGGTGTTTTTTACTTTCTTGGCAGCTCATCACATATTTAGAAAGGTTTTTTTCCCTGGACTTTTTAATTGTTTTTCAGTGGGAGAGTCAGTCAGTGTATCTAGTCCTGCAGACTGTAGAAATAGAAGTTGGCTAGATTCATTTTTTCAATTGCATTGTGTTCTATCAACCTGTCTAAAGGTTTGCTGGAGACGGAACCATTGCAAGGAAGAGACGAAGATGCAGTAGCCAGTGCTGACTTCTCTACCATGCTCTCTGAGGAGGAGAAAGAGGAGTTAAAGGCAGAATTAGTTCAGGTATGTTTGGTAATCTTCCTATTGTTGCTACTTCTATTTCTGGATCTTGAAAGTTATTATTAGTGGGACATAAGTCCCATATTACGATTATGCTGTCTTTCACTTAATAAAATTTAATAAATGGCATATTGCAAGGTGATTCATTTTTCTGGGGTATTTTTGTAATGCTATTGTCCATTACCTGTTGGTTACAGTAGTAAAACGAATGGTTATGCTGCTTAAGCAACAATGATTAATTAATTAGTTGTACGTGTGCACCTCTTAGTCTTTTTGGTATCCCAAGGCTAGGGGAACAATAAGTCACTTACAAACCTGATGGAATTCCTTCAAGACCTTGGTGTAGATGCAAGCTCCTTTTTTTTTTTTTTTTTTTCTTTCTCTCCCCAAAGCCCGCCGGTACATAGTTGTACATTCTTTGTTGTGGGTCCCTCCAGTTGTGGCATGTGGGACACTGCCTCAGCGTGGCCCGATGAGCAGTGCCATGTCCGCACCCAGGACCCGAACCAACGAAACACTGGGTCGCCTGCAGCGGAGTGCGCGAACTTAACCACTCGGCCACGGGACCAGCACCGCAAGCTCCTTTTTAAGAGCAGTTCTTGTCCTAGGTCAGCAACTTCGTTCAACGAATACTTTGAAATGACTTATTTTTGTAATGAAAAGGTCAGTCATAGAAATGACTGAATTTATTAAGTTGTGTCCTCTTTTGCGCAAGAATAAAGCTCAGAGGGTAGAGAAGAAAGCTCTGCTGAGTTTAGGCTTCCTTAGATCTTGTGTAGTTGCTGGGCGCATCTGGGCCTAGAGGCCAGGGTGATGCCTGGCTCCCCATGAATGCGACTCTTTGTTCAAGCCTTTCCTTGCAGGGTCCGCTAACCTTCAAACACTTTGCTAAGGAGCGTTTACGTTATAGGAGGAAAGGGCTGAGAAAGGGAGCTTTTCCAAGTAGAATGAGCAGTAGAGCAAGAGAGGAAGAGGCCCATATTCCTCGCCATTCCGCATCCCTGGCTCAGAGGGCAAGAAGCTCCTGGTCTGGCTGGAAGCCAGGCTTCAGCCTCCTGTTCTGGCCCCTTCTGCAGGCTGAGGACCCACTTTGAGCTCCACCTGACCCTCACCCCCCTTTGTCCACTCTGGACTCTTCAAGCTCTAATGTTCTGAAACATGTATTTATGACAACTCATAATGATGTGGAAGACTTTCCAGGTGCTTTCACAAGGCACACCCTAAAATAACTTCATTGTAAAATAAAGGAGCAGCTTGTTCCTCTGGTGCAGCAGAAATTATTTCAGTGAGCACAGCGTCTCAAATCAAATAGCCTGGTTCTTTGGCTGCGTCTGTCTGTCTGTGGCCAGTGATCCAGAACCACCCAGTTTACTTCAGTTTGGCCACATGTGCCAGAGTACACAGATCAAAGTCAGCCTTAACGGAGAATGTCCAGCTGTACTTTTTTTTTTGAAGATTGACACCTGAGCCAACAACTGTTGCCAATCTTGTTTTTTTTCCTGCTTTTTCTCCCCAAATCTCCCAAGTACATAGTTGTATATTTTAGTTGTGGGTCCTTCTGGTTGTGGCATGTGGGATGCCGCCTCACCGTGGCCTGATGAGCAGTGCCGTGTCCGCGACCAGGATCCGAACCGGTCAAACCCTGGGCCACCCAAGCAGAGCGCGTGAACTTAACCTCTCCGCCACGGGCCGGCCCCTGCACATTTTCTTAAGGCCTGGAATTCTGGCTCATGATCTGTTCATGTCACTTGCAGTGTCCAGAAGTTGTATTCTCTGTATAAATGATTCTGAGCTAAATTTAACTCCGTTGTTGTAGTCCAAATTTAAATTCAGGCATAAGCTCTGTAACAGACCAACTTTTATAAAATGCCTTGATTTTTCTGGGTTCTGGAATTAATGGACTATACGTAGACACACATATCAATGTATGTTTTTTGTGCGTTCTATATTTTCTAAACGTTCAACAATGAGTGTTTCCTACTTTTATAATCAAAATTAGGTATTGGTTTTAAATGGATGCCTCCATGAATATAAAAAACTAGCAGTGTTTTCAGAAATCCCTGTTTCCTTTGGCCACATTAATAAGCTTCCAGTGTGTCTTATTCATGAGAGTTTCTGAGCCTGACTTCTGAAAATAACACCAGATTCCTTGTTACTGTGTTCAAGTTACCGAGACTCATGTTTTCATCCTTGAGAATGCGTTAGCCTCCATGCATCCTGTCGCATGTTTCTGGGTTCTGCGGAGATGAAGAAATACTGCATTTTGCCGGTTTGCATCATGGCTCCGAAGACACACGGCCACAGCTGTATGACGAGGCTCAGCGAAAAGGAAAGGAAGTGTACTTAGCAAGCACACTTTGTTCTTCTTCACATTTCCATTTCTTCTCCCTCCACCTCAGGCCACCTTCCTGTTATGCTCATTCTTTTCTTAAATCTGCTTTCCCTGCCCTTCTACAGGTGTGTGCACATGCACGCATGAGTGTATGTGCACTCATACGCATAAGCACATGTGCACACACACACACCCAGACACCAATCAATTTCCTTCAGATCTCAGATGCATTCAGATTACCTCTGATGCTGAGGTTTCATTGTAACAGGAACACACAGAGAGCTGTCTCAGAGTCTCACAACCGGCCTTAGGAAGAACTGAGGCATCTTTTAGACAGCTTAGCTTCTCTGCCTCGACTTTCCACAGACATTCTTCCCAGCCCCCTGGTCACAGGCAACCCCTCTCTATGTCTGAGGGAAGATCCCACTGGGACTGTTAGCCACATGGGTAACAGGACACCTCACAGGTGAGCCTGTTAGATGACTGCCTCTGAGTTAGGCAATCACTGTGGATTGCACGGATCACTTGTGGCCATGATCCAAAGCAAGACTTCGTGTACAAGGACTTCTTATCTCTGACTGCTTTGCTTAAAAGAGGTCTTGGGGTGTGCTAGGGACCCAGGCTCCTCTTCAATTCACTCCTCTCGCTGGTTTCCTTGGATTCTCCTACTGTCTTCTGGCTATGCTGGATCCCTCCCCGCTGCCTTATCCTACACTGTTTTGTTGTTAATATTCCTATGAAGATGCCCTTAGATTTCAGGCAGTCTCATAACTCCATTCACCCACACAGCCAACGTATTGTTGTGTGCTTAGCAAGTGCTGGCAATAGGAAGACGTGTCCTTGTGGTGGGACACATAAAATAAGCCAGTATTGGCCAAAAGGCTACATCTTGGATGAAGTCTGCGTTTTAAAAGAGAAATCTGTTGTTAATACAATTTAGTCTTTAGTTTATTATTGTGGTCATGCAATATGTGTGTTCTTAAAAGTTCCTCGAATGTGAGGCCAGTATCACCTCTGATCTGGTACAGTAGTTGTGCATAGAAGGTGTGCAATTAAGATTTATAATTAACTTGAATTACTTTATAGCTTCAACAAATATTTACATTTGTAAATATCAGAAGTAGAATATGCTTTGCAGTATATAAAGAAATACTATTTTGTTTCAGATATTTATTCTCATTAGTCTTATCACCAGCTGCTCCTAACAGCTTTTCTGAGGTCTTTACACATCTGTGGGGGATTTTTTCCTTTCTCTCTCTTTTTAAATTAATTTGCTCAATATTTCTGTGCTAACTTCCCACTCCCACTTTCATTTCATTAAGCTGCATTCTATGCTTAGTATTCCATAATGTGTGTTGGCTTTTGAAAAGGATGAAGTGTTGGCATTAATGCTGTAAATTTGTGATTATATAACAGTCAAATACTGCCAACATCCTCTAGATAAAATGACTCAAAGAAAATAGGCATTAATAGGAGGAGGAGAAATACCAAACAGCACTATCGAGTAGGCAGAACCTATTTTCAGGCTCCTTCCATCTCACTAGTGGCTCTTCCCGCTTCTTTTGGCGTGTGGCTCCCCAAGAACAGCACACAATGCCCTCAAGCCACCTGGCTCTTAGAATTACAAAGAAGTGCCTCAGGCTCTTGACCTTTTTCTCTCAATTCCTTCCTCTAAGACCTTCGTTATTTCTAAACTGAGCTAGTGAACAACCAGAGTATTCATAACCAATAATATCTTATTATAACGCCCCTCTGTATTAGTCAGGGTTCTCCAGAGAAACAGAACCGATAGTATGTGTATGTATATATATAGAAAGAGATTTATTATAAGGAATTGGCTCATGTGATTATGGAGGCTGACAAGTCCCAAGATCTATAATCATCAAGCTGGGGACCCAGGGGAGTTCATGGTGTAGTCCAATTTGAAGGCCAGTGGCTTGAGAACCAGGAAGAACTAATGAGTCCAAAGGCAAGAAAAAAAAAAACAACTGTCCAATGTCAATCACAGTCAGGTAGGAAGAGCTCCCTCCTACGCAAGGGAGGGTCAGCCCTTTTGCTCTATTTAGACCTTCCACTGATTGAATGAGGCCCACCCACTTAGGGAGGGCAATCTGCTCTGCTAAGTCTGCCTGTTCAAATTTCATCTCATCCAGAAACATCTTCATAGAATAGTGTTTGACCAAATGTTTGGGCCCCCCCACAGCCCAGTCAAGTTGACACATAAGGTTAACCATCACACTGTCCCAGATGGTATCTGCATTTTAATTCTAGTTCTTCTGGATTCTTAGCCAAGGGTGGGAGTAGCTAGAAGAAGAGACAGGCCCTGAAGCAGTGGGTACAAGAGACCAAATGCTCTTACTCCAAAACGTCGTCGTGGTGATTAATGGTTTATGAAAGTATTTCTTTTTCTGGATTTAAGTTAGATACTTTATGTAATCTAGCAGATAAAATAGAAAAGTAAATTTTCACCTTTCTAACATAAATTTCATATTGATGCTGACTTATTAGCTAATTCAGATTAATTTATTTTTCTTTTTTATTGAGGTAAATTAATATAACATGTAATTAACCATTTTAAGGTGAACAATTCAGTGGTATTTATTTCGCTTACAATATTGTGTAACCACCACTCTATCTAGTTCCACAATATTTTCATCATCCCAAAAGGAAACTTCATACTCATTAAGCAGTTACTGCCCATTCCTTCTTCTCCCCAGCAACTACTAATCTGCATTCTGTGTCTCCGGATTTGCCTATTCTGGATATTTTATATAAATCCGTCATACAATATGTGACCTTTTGTGTCTGACTTCTTTCACTCAGCCTGATGTTTTTGAGGTTCATCCATGTTGTAGCGTATCTCAATACTTCATTCCTTTGTATGGCTGAATAATACTCCATTTTATGTATATACTACAATTTGTTTATCTGTTCATCGTTTGATGGATATTTGGGCTATTTTTATCCTTTGGCTATTGCAAATAGTGTTGCTATGAACATATGTGTACATATACTTGTTTGAGTACCTGTTCTCAATTCCTTGGGTACATACGTAGGAGTGGAATTGCTAGGTCATATGGTAGTTCTATGTTTAACTTTTTAAGAAACTGCCAGTCTATTTTTCACCATGACGGAACCGTTTTACTATCCCACCAGCTAGGTACTAGGGTTCCAATTTCTCTACATCTTTGCCAAAACTTATTATTTTCCTTTTAATTTATATTTAAATAATCAAGCTTAAATATCTAATCGTGGGCATAAATATTTATCCTACAAGGGGATCGTCTAGGGAGTCAAGAAACCAAAGAATCAGACTATTAGTTTCTAATAAAGAAAGATTAATTGAAAACTAAAAGGGAAAAGATATATTAAATACTTTACTTAAGTGATTTACCTGCACTCCACCTCATTTCAAAAGGAATTTGATGTGGCTCACAGGGGTACTTACAATATAGAGTTTCCATACCTACCTACATCAGAATATCTGGGGGTGCTTGTTAAGTGATGTAAGTAGTCTGGCCCCAGAAAATTTAAGACATCAGAATCTCAGGGCATGAAAGGGATATACATCCAGAATCTGCATTTTAAAGATGCTCTCTGGGTGACGTTTATGTAAACTGAAGTTGAGAGTCACTGGTGTAACCAGACCAAAAAATCTCATTAGTCAAATGAGAGATTGACTCTCACCAGGATTGTCACTTAAAGCATTTGTTCTTAAAGGCTTTCCTATCCTGACTGGACTCCACTCTGTAGAAAGAGATGTGGTTGGCCATTTTAAACCTTGCAAGTTAACATAATCTCAGGTGATTTGTTTTTCCAACTTCTGGGATTTGCTTAATAGATTTTTTGGCATATATTTAGATTTCTGATAAATATACTGAAAGCTTTGAGAAGTGTGAGTCATGTGTTTTATGGAAATGGTGAGAATTTCGTTATAGAACCTGAGAATAGACCCAACTAAGAAACCAAATTCGTGTCTCCATCATTAGAAGTGTCTTCCCCACAAATACCTTTTAACTTGTGCTTTGATTTTTAAGTTATTAAATGTGAGGCTTACATTTCTTTCTTTAGGATGATATTTGGTGAGTTGGTCACTTCAGTGTTTCTATCATTTTTTTAGAGCAAGGATTTCATTATAAAACTATAAATGCTTTACTCACTCCTTACACCAAATAACTACTGCCCCTCTAATTTTGAATAAATTTCTGGGGTTCCATAGATGTAAGATTGAGACTATCAAGATTTTTAAGCTTCTTTCTCCTTCTCTCCATCTGCAATTTCCTTCTACAAGTTAAAATGTTTCCCATTATTTTTAGTACACAGTGGAAACTACAGTAATACCTGATGTGTAAAAGAAACAGACTCATAGTAATTTCAGTCACTCAAAGCACTATCATCCAAAAGAAAGCCAAAAAGTTCTTTCTAATAGAGACTAAAAGGCTGACATGAAGCCCAAGCATTTTCTATGGTGAGAGGGCTGGAGAGACAGCCTTGAGAAATACTAGGCAGCAGATGAAATGCAGGAGAACATGTTGACAAGAAAGACAATGTGGAATATGACATGATTGACAAAGAATAGAAGGGTTTAATTTTTAAATCACAGTGTGTTCTCATTTAATGGAGGAACTAAAAGCATTGTCCCCTTGGTGGTCTCTGAGCAGGATCCTTTTGCAGTAATCCATGTATGTCTGCATCCTGAAGACTCTTGCTCATCAAGAAAAGAGAGCATGCTGTTGATTATGACATGTTCATAGAATGTATAATTCATTTAGAAAAGATTTCCATGAGCATAAAACAGATGTTCCATGAATGTAAAAAAATGGATAATGTTAAATTACCAGGACATTTTGCTGATGTTAAAACCCCAAGATATTGTTCTTTTCTACTGTGGCATTTAAGATGCTTCTCATTCAGTATTTCTGACTGTTTTGCATAAGTGATTATCTGTGTATACGAAGGTTCACAACTTTATTCCTGTCTGTTCACCAGTGGGGCAAAATCTTCCTTGTGCTAGTAAAAGACAAATTCTAGCAAAGGTCGCTGTCTTTCTTGAGGTGCTTTTCTAGCAGCTATGTCTCTGGTGACCCAAAGAACACATTTGCAAGAACACTGACAGGGTTAGGGATGCGGCTTGTGGTCAGAAGTAGAGTGACACTTTGAATGTAAATGAGACACAGCTGCTCCATTTTTTTTTTTTTTTAAACAAGAAATCTTGCAAAGTGTCAGGCTTTTATTACCTCCGTGCATGTGGGATGCTAAGGGAGTACTCATGATTCTCTTCTGGCTTCACAAGGAAAGTCACCGGGATTTATACATTTCAAAACAAAGATGTAAATTTAAGCAATATTGCCAGGGCAATGAATTATAAAATTCAACAACAAATTAGAATCAAAGGTCTTGTGGAGGTTCAAGCTTATTTTCACGGGATATAGCAACACTCTCTAAAATCTGGGTGTTTTACAGAACTCCTTTGTTAGAAATTCCATTTGCAAGAGCAATTTTATAATGCTGAAGAGATTTGCTTCTCTGTGGCACGGGGAACGGAGGAAACGTGTCCCTACAAATCCGTGTATGTGAATGGTCGTAGCAGTTTTGTTTGCATTAGCCAAACTCGAATGTCCTTCAGCAGGTGAGCAGAGAAGAAACTGTGGTATATCCACATGGTGGAATACTGCTCTGCAATGAAAAGGGAAGAACCACTGATAATGCAGCAACAGGGCCACATCTCAGATCATCTCAAATCATTAGGTTGAGCGAACAAAGCCAGGCAAGAATGAATATATACTCTATATTTCAATTTATGTAAAGTTCTAGAAAATGCAAACTAAACTCCAATGACAAAAAGATCGGTGGCTCCCTGGGGGAAGAGGGAGAAGAGGGAGGGAGGAATTACAAAGAGGAGCTAGAAAATTTTGGGAGGTGATGGATATAATCACTCTCTTGATTGTGGTCATGACGTCACAGAAGTATGCATACGTCAAAACTTATAGATTTTACACTTTAAATGTGTCCACTTAAGTGTATGTCAATAAAATTGTTGAAAAGAGGAAACAAATCACTCCTTTACGTATATCCCCTCCTCCCTTCTTCCTCCTTCTGGCAAAACCACAATGTCTGCCCATCCGTGCCTGCACCAGGACAGCTGTGTGTGGTTAGCAAACGACAAACGACACTGACTAGTGACATTTGAAAAGAAGTAGTTTCTAAAATAAAGCCAAAAGGTGTTAGCTCAGGGCCAATCTTCCTCACCAAAAAAAAACATACCTTTAACAAACATATAAATAGATAAATAAATAATTTTTAAAATTAAATAAATAAATAAATAAAGCAGTTTTTTGTTCAAAAGCTATATCTGTGTACAATTTTAGAAGAACATTTGGAAGATTAGCAACCAAAGAATTAAGCGATGGCTAGTTCCTAGTGGATTACAGGTGATTTTTATTTTCTTGTTTACATTTTGCTGTACAAATGAATTGTTTACAAGGAGCAGTGGTTACTTTGATAATGGTTAAAACTAAAAAAATCGATTTCTACTTTTGAATATAGAGTATCGTCTCTGTAGGATGGGTTTGCTCCAGCCAAGCGTGGGCCTGTGCCAACAAGAGGGCGCAGAGGCTGCCGTGGGGCCCCCAGAACTTTTGCAGGTGTGTTTTGGCTGCTCTGATGTTTTTCCTCACTGTTTTCCCTCTTACCTGTAGCTAGAAGACGAAATTACAACATTACGACAAGTTTTATCAGCGAAAGAAAGGCATCTGGTTGAGATCAAGCAAAAACTCGGCATGAACCTGATGAATGAATTAAAACAGAACTTCAGCAAAAGCTGGCATGACATGCAGACTACACCTGCGTAAGTCTGTTAACTGAATTTTTAAAAAATTCCTTAGCCTGCTGTCTTGCCACTCTTCTGTTCTTTCTCTTCTATGTGGCTGACTTGGTATTTGTGGCTAGGAAAAATATTTTCTCTAGAAGTAAAATAAAGGAATATGAATAATCATCCAATATGTCACGTGTAAAACAGACTCTATAAAGTAGCTTCATGGAATTAAACTTTATTCACCAAAACTCTGTTTTGACTCAGACTGCTTTCATAGAGTTTTATGGTTTAAATTTTTTTCTCTTTATTATATATTTTTAAACATTCGTTAAATATAGTTTTTTTCTGTATGTTTTCTCGTAATATTCTAAATGGGCAGGTGCTTTTTCCTGAGTACTTGGCATTCCCTACTATTTTGAGTTTCTATCAAAAATGATTGACCATTTTAGTACAGGCCTGTTAGCCATTAATTTAAAAAAGAAAGCTTGGGGGCTGGCTCCATGGCTGAGTGGTTAAGTTTGTGTGCTCTGCTGCGGTGGCCCAGGGTTCCCATCCTGGGCACGAACATGGCACTGCTCGTCAGGCCATGTTGAGGCGGCGTCCCACATCCCACAACTGGAAGGACCAGCAACTAAGATATACAACTGTGTATGGGGGGCGCGGGTTGGATAGATAAAGCAGAAAAAAAAAAAAAAGAAGATTAACAGTTGTTAGCCCAGGTGCCAATCTTAAAAAAAAAAAAAAAAAAAAGAAACCTTGTACCTCTCATATTTTGGGGATGTGCTTTTCATCCCCACTGCTCCAGGGGATATTTAGAGCTGAGTTTAGGCCAACGGAAATGCTTTTGGCTTTACTGCCATCTTCTTGTCTGATGTTAGGCAGAGCACGGAACAGCTTTGGGTCTTGTACAATCATACTTTTATTGGATTACTTTTTAAAGTATGTGAAATATTTGATATTGTGGTCTTTTTCTAAGGATTTAAGATATTTTGCTTGCCAGGTGGTCTCGTACCAAAGGGAAGAAGGTGCCCCATAACGATGTGATTTTTCTTCTTTTTGTGTGTTGGGGATTAGGGGCTGATGCCAAAACCACAGAGGCTTCCTATCCTAGCCCAAACCCCTGGTACTCCCCATTGGAAGATAAAGACATTGTATTCCTAATATCTAAGTGGGAATCGATTTTTCTCTTTGCTGGAATGTTTTTCCTGGGCATAGAGAGGCCAGGTAGTAGGAAGAGGTGCCAGTGATGGACAGCAATTATCTCAGTCTTGCTGGAGGCCAACTTTGCTTGCTGGTTCCTGAGAACTAAGGTCTAAGACCTTTTGTTTCTGTGTGAAGGTGCCCTTTGTATGAGGAGTTCCATCTGAAAGGAACCTGATGTCTCCCCATGGTGGTTCTCTTAGTTTTCCTGTAAAGGGGCATGTTTTCTCCCATAACGGTCGTATCCACTTCTGTGATTGTGCACCTCAAGGGCTCATGCAGACAGGGTCAGGACACAGCCCAGAGCAGGGCAGGATGGAGCCAGGGAGCCCATTAGTTTGTTTCCAGAGGCTAACCAACCTTCTCCAGCCCGAGATGACAATTATGGAAGAAGATAAAAACCACTCATTGATGTTTGTTGATTTAAAATATATGTTGCAACACGGTATGAACAATCTGCTAAAAAGCGTAGCTGGATTTTAGGCACTAAATTCAGTGAGTGTATCTGTTGGTGGTTTTGGCCTCCATCTTTGCACTTTGGTGGCCTATACCCATTAATGTCCCTGACTGTGTGAGGTTGAACAATCTCCAGTTCCCTGGGGCTGGTCGTCGCTGTATTTAATCTAGGTCTGGTGGCTTTGTGTCACACTGATCCGAACTTCCTTCTGGAGCCTAAGAGCCAGGCGGGATCTTTCTGCTCAGCCTCCCTGACCACACCGCAGGGTTCGGTTAACGGAATGGAGGGCAGGGCAACTGTGGGTGTGCCGTGCTGAAGGGAGGGAGGGAGCAGGGACTGCCTGGGCAGAGGGTGTGCTGGGTTTGCCCCCGGTCTGATGGGGACCGGCTGGGAGGTGGGGTAGTGAGGGGAGATTCGGATTCATCTTAGGACTTGGCGTTAGAGCAGGCAGGTTCTAGGAAGGCTTGTCGCCTCTTCCCACAGGGAGAATATGTAGTTTGTGTGTTTCCCGTGTTCGAAAAGCAAATTGGTTTTATAATCAGGCAGTCTGCTTAGTGTCAAGCTTTTTGTCGGATAAATAAAGAGATTTACTCCCTGAGGGTATGGAGTTTATAGTGTAGTTAGGAACACAGTTTTGTTTTGGTTTTGTTTGTTTTACAACTTATTGCAAATAACCAGTTCAATGATGAGTATGAAAAGTGATGTGAGGGGAAAATACAGGGTATTGTGGGATGTGGAGCGGGAGATTGAACCTTGCCTGGCGTCTCAGGGAAGGTTTCCTGAAGAAGAGATGTTTAAGCTGAACTCTGAGGGATGAGTCAGAATTTAATCAGGCCACGAGGGGCAGGAGGAGCCTCCTGGGGGAGGCACAGCCTGGTGAGGGCCCGCAGAAGGCTCCCTCTCCCAAGGGCAAGTGGTCCAGTTAATTAGTCTTGTTGAGACAGCAGGAGAAGTGGCCTGGTGGCACCTGTTAACAGAGTTATTCTTTGTCCACAGGCAATAGAAGGCCATTAAAGGGCTAGTGGCAGCGCTTTTATCCAACCGTATTAATTAGTTTCTGGTAGTAGACATTATTACACAGGGGCTAAAGTAAGCACTCAGGATACAGGATTCAACAAGATGGACAAAATTCCTACTGTCTTTGAGTGTCAAAAGGAAAAAGAACAAGAAACAACAAAATAAACAAATGAAGAAATAGCGGGAAGTGCTATAATGAAAATATCATAGGGTGGTGTACTGGATGACCGGGTCCCAGTCAGGGTAATCCTGTCCCCGGAGGTTACTTTGAGCTGAGACCTGAATGACAAGAAAGATCCAGTCTTGTGATGATCCAGGGAAGAGCTTTCAAGTGAAAGTTGCTGCAAAGACCCTGAGGCAAGAAGTAGCTTTGCAGATTTGGAGTGCTGTGAGAGGAGGTGAGATCAGAGCCTCAGGGGCCTCCTATGCCCTGGAGGAGGGGGGATCTTATTCCTAGTGCTGTGGATGCCATTAGAGAGTGTGAAGCAGGAAGATCACTCTGGTTTCTTTGTGTAATGTAGATTGTGGAGAGGCAGGATATTGCAGTAGTCCAGGCGGGTGATGATGGTGAGGGAAAGTCATGGACAGAGAAAGAATAGGATTTGGAAGTCTGGCCAACAGGACTTCCCAATGGTTTGGAGGTGGAGGCTGAGGGAAATAGAGGGATCAGATGTGACCCAGGTCTTTGACTTGGGCTGCTGGGTGAGCAGCGGGACTATTTCCAGCAATGAGGGTATATAGCATTGTGCTTAAGCTGGTGGGTTGTGGACTCCAGTTGCTTGGGTTGAAATCTAGGCCCCCCTGCATCCGTGCAATGAGATCATCTTAGTACCTATTGCATAGGTAGTGAGGATTCAATGAGTTAATATTTGTAAAGCATGAGAACGGTGTCTGACACCTTGTAAGCCTGTTTGCTGTTCTAGGAAACACGTCTGGTGAGGAGACCCAAGAATTCTGTTTTGGCTCTGCGCAGTCTGAAATGCCCAGTAGACAAACAAGTTTATATATTGAGAGGGCAACTGGGAGCACAAGTCAGAGATAGAGATGGGCATTCGGGAGTCGTCTGTGTATTGATATCATTGAGATCCATAGGACTAGATGAAATTTCCTCGGAGATTATTTAATAAATAATATGATTGTGGGTTCACTAATTTTCAGGAATCATGTGAACTTTCTCTTGTCAGGAAGAATCATTCCCTTTCTTAAGAGGGAGCATAAGTCTATCAGCAACATAACTTCTGGAGAGCATCTTCTTCCCACCCTTTTTTCTTGGCTGCTGAGGGCAGGGAAAACCTCCTCATCAGATGTTAGTAGGGGAAGGGTGATAACAGAATCTCTTTTCCCTCTGAATTAATTAAATCTCTGCTGTTGATGTCCGTGATGCCCATTCCAGAACAAGATCTACACCTCACATGATGGAGATTCTCATGTGAGGAGTGATGAGCTGGGGTGGGGTTAAATTGGGTAGAATTAGATTTCAAAGCACTAAAAAGAATGTTAGCTGTCAGAGGATTGTATGTCATTCCCAGAGGTGGTACTTTGCATACTGATGAAGCAATCATGACCTATTTAGTTTGACTTGTGAGGAAAAGAAAATCTATGGCATGGTAATGAAAGATCTAGGCATATTTTAGTCTGTGGTAGGATTCCAATTGGAATAAGACCGGATGAGGAGGAATCCTTACACAGCAGACTGAAATTATCTCCTTTACAGAAAGATAACCATACAGTAGCAGGTCAAGAGATCATCTGTGTCTGGGGCTTGTTGTTGCTGTTTTTTTCATAGTTTTTTCAGTGCCTTGATTTGAGAGTATCTGAGAACACACACAAAATTACCCTACCTCCTTTTTTTTTTTGGTTCTCTGCTGCTTTTCATGTTGTCTTTAAGCTTTAAGGAGGCAGGGGAAGGTGGGTGGCTTTGATGTGAATAAGTGGGGAGGCCACAGGAGGAGAAATTGAATGTCTTCTATAGGTAGAAGGAGTAAGAATTTGAAAATGCAACATCGTGGTGGGCTATTCGAACTAATAGGCTTCATTTTAATAAGTGTTCAGCCTTTGCTAACCCATGAAATTCCCCTACTAGTAAACTCCTCTGAGTTCTACCACAGACCCAATGCTAGGTCTACAACGGGGAGAAGATTTTCCTTAAACCATTCTGTTGATGCAAATAATCCATAGTCAATCAATAAATCAAGATTGGGGTCAGTTTATTATGAGCCAGATTTGACAACTATAGCCTGGGGCCTTCCTTCCCTAAGGAAGGAAGGGCACCAAAGAAGTGGGGTGTACAGAGTGGTTATATACCGTCTTGGAGCAAAGAGCATACATCACATATAACAGGAATATCTCTTTTACGACT